ATTCCCGAAAGTAGCGAAAATTTTTTATCGAAATATATTCAATTATTTTTAACGACGGTAAAAACTTGCTACTAGAAACAAAACAGAATAAATGTTTGGTTGACTAAAATCAAATTTTGTCGAAAAATAATTGAATTGTATACGTTATGTAACCAAAAAAAGTTGTAATAGAATGATTTTCTCTCTTTTCTTCGACTGCAGTTGTTGAAAAGTAAATGATATTTGCTAGATCTTATTGGACATTAAACTTTTTATTTGTTATTATACGCTCTAAAACTTGAAGGAAAACGATTTATACCTTCTGTTATATAGCACATATTTAGAAATTTTTGTAGTTTTCAACTACGATATAATCCAGAAAGAATCGAAAATTTTTTTATGAATATAATAAAACATTTTCAGCGACGGTAAAAATGTGCTACAAGAAAAAAACCTGAATAGATGTCAGGTTTACTACAATCGAGTTTCGTTGATAAAGAATTAATTTCCTTACGAAAAGTAACAAAAAAAAGTCGTAATAAAATGATTTTTTCCCTTTTGTTTGACTACAGTATTCCAAGTATAATTGATGGTTGCCAAATTTAACGGACTTCTTACTTATTATTTGTAAGCATACGCTTTAAAGCTTAAAAGAAAACGTTTCATAGCTTTTGTTATATAGCATTTTTTTAGAAATTTTATAGGTTTTAACTACGATTTAATCCAGAAAGTAGCGAAAATTTCTTTCTAAATATATTGAAACATTTTTAACGACGGTAAAAATGTGCTACTGAAACAAAACAGAATAGATGTTCGGTTGACTTCTATCGAATTTTGTTGAAAAATAATTGAATTCTATACGTGATGTAACCAAAAATAAATGAAATAAAATGATTTTTTCTCTTTTTTTCGACTGCAGTTGTTTAAAAGTAAATGATATTTGCTAGATATATTTGACGTAAAAATGTGCTACTACAACAAAACAGTATAGATGTTAGGTTAGCCACGATCTAATTTTTTCGAAAAAGAATTAAGTTCTACACGTTAAGTAACCAAAAAAGGTTTAATAATATAATTTTTTTGCTATTTTTGGACTGCAGTTTTGAAATATAAATGGTATTCGTTAGATTTTGCTGGAAATAACCCTTTTTAATTGTTAGTATACGCTTTAAATCTTGAAAGAAAACGTTTTATTGCTTTTGTTATATAGCATTATTTTAGAAATTTTATAGTTTTTAACTACGATTTAACGAAAAAAGTTGCGGTAATTTTTTTTTAAATATGTTAAAAAATTTTGTGCGTCGGTAAAAATGTGCTACTAAAAACAGAACAGAATATATGTCAGGTCTTCTACAATCGAGTTTCGTTGATAAAGAATTGAACTCTTAACGTAAAGTAACCAAAAAAACTTTAAATAAAATGATTCTTTCCCTTTTTTTTTGAACGCAGTTGGGGAAATATAAATGTAATTTGCGAGATTTTATTAAACCTAACTCTTTTTATTTGTTAGTATACGCTGTAAAACTTGACAGAAAACGTTTTATAGCTTCTGTTATATAGCATTTCTTTAGATATTTGATAGTTATCAAGTATTGTTTATTCAAGAAAGCAGTGAAAGTTTTCTTAAATATTTCGAAAAATTTCTTAACGAACGTAAAAATGTGCAATTGGAAACTAAACAGAATAGATATTTAGTTGACTACAATCGAATTTTGTTGAAAAATAATTGAATTATACACGTGAAGTATCCCAAATAAGTTATAATAAAATTATTTTTTTCCTTTTTTTGGACTGCAGTTGTTTAAATATAGATGGTATTCGCTAGATTTTGCTAGACATAACACTTTTTATTTGTTAGTATACGCTTTAAATCTTGAGAGAAAACGTTTTATTGCTTTTGGTATATGGCACTATTTTATAAATTTTATAGTTTTTAACTACGATTTAACCAAAAAAGTTGCGTTAATTTCTTTTTAAATATATTAAAAAATTTTGAGCGACGGTAAAAAAGTGCCACCAAAAACAGAACAGAATATATGTCTGGTTTTTTACAATCGAGTTTCGTTGAAAAAGAATTGAATTCTTAACGTAAAGTAACCAATAACACTTTAAATAAAATGATACCTTCCCTTTTTTTTGCACTGCAGTTGTTGAAATATAAATGTAATTGGCTAGATTTTATTAAACCTAACACTTTTTATTTGTTAGTATAATCTTTAAAACTTGAAAGAAAACGTTTTATACCTTTTGTTATATAGCACTTTTTTAGAAATTTTATAGCCTTTAAATGCGATGTAATCCAGAGTGTAGCGAAAATTTCTTTCTTAATATATTAAAACATTTTTAGCGACGGTAAAAATGTGATACTAGAAACAAAAAAGGATGGATGTCAGGTGTACTACAATCGAGTTTCGTTAAAAAACAATTGTGTTCTTTACGTAAAGTAACAAAAAGAAGTCGTAATAAAATGATTTTCTTCCTTTTTGTTTGACAGCAGTATTCCAAGTATAAATGATGTTTGGCAAATTTTTTTAGACTTACTACTTATTATTTGTAAGCACACGCTTTAAAACTTGAAAGAAAACGTCTCGTAGCTTCTGTTAAATAGCACTTTTTTAGATTCTGTATAATATTTAACTACGACTTCGTCCAGAAAGTAGCAAAAAATTCTTTATAAGTATATTAAAAATTTTTTAGCGTTATGTAAAAATGTGATATTAGAAACTAAAAAGAATAGTTGTTTGGATGACGACAATCGAATTTTGTTGAAAAATAATTGAATTCTACACGTGAAGTAACCAAAAAAAAGTTGCAATAAAAAGAATTTTTCTTTTTTTTTCGACTGCAGTTGTTAAAAGAAAATGATATTTGCTAGATTTTATTGGACATAACACTTTTTATTTGTTAGTATACGCTTTAAAACTTAAAAGAAAACGTTTCATAGCTTTTGTTATATACAACTTTTTTAGAAATTTTATAGTTTTTACTACGATTTAATTTAGAAAGTAGCGAAAATTTCTTCTTAAATATATTAAAACATTTTAGGCGAAGGTAAATATGTGCTATTAGAAACTAAACAGAATAGATTTTTGGTTGACTACAATCGAATTTTAATGAAAAATAATTGAATTTCATACGGGAAGTTACCAAAAAAAGTTGTAATAAAACGATTTTTTTCCTTTATTTTTGACTGCAGTTGTTAAAATATAAATGTAATTTGCTAGATTTTTTTAAACCTGACACTTTTTATTTTTTAGTATACGCTTTTAAACATGAAAGAAAACGTTTTATAGCGTTTGTTATAAAGCATTTCTTTAGAATTTAGATAGTTTTCAAATATTATTTAATCAAGAAAGCAGCAAAAAATTTTCTGAAATATATTCAAAAATTTTTAGCGACGGTAAAATTTGCTAATAGAAACAAGATAGAATGGATGTCAGGTTGACTAAAATTGAGTTTCGTCGAAAAAGAATAGAACTCTAAACGTTAAGTCTCCAAAAAAAGTCGTTATAGAATATTTTTTTTTTTGACTGCTGTAGTCCAAATACTATCATGTTTGCATAATTTTTTCGGACTTAACACTTTTTATTTGTAAGTAGACGCTCTGAAGCTTGAAAGATAACGTTTCATAGCTTCTGTTAAATAGCACTTTTTTAGATATTTTATAATTTTAACTACGCTTTAATCCAGAAAGAAGGAAAATTTCTTTTTAAATATATTAAAAATGTTTTAGCAAAGGTTAAGATGTGCTAATAGAAACTAAACAGAATAGATGTTTAGTTGACTACAATCGAATATTTTCGAAAAATAATTGAATTCTACACGTGAAGTAAACAAACAAAATTGTAAGAAAATGATTTTTTCTATTTTCTTCGACTGCAGATGTTGAAAAGTAAATGATATTTGCTAGATTTTATTGGACATACTACTTTTTATTTGTTAGTATTCGCTTTCAAATTTGAAAGGAAACGATTTATAGCTTTTGTTATGCAGCAATTTTTTTAGAAATTCTATACTTTTTAACTACAATTTAATCAAGAATAAAGCGAAAATTTCTCTCTAAATATATTAAAACATTTTTAGCGACGGTAAAAATGTGCTACTAGAAACAAAACAGAATAGATGTCCGGTTTACTACAATCAAGTTTTGTTGAAAAAGAATTGAATTCTTCGCGTAAAGTAACTATAAAATTTGTACTAAAATGATTTTTTTCCTTTTTTTGGACTGCAGTCTTTATATTATTAATGTGGTTTGCTAGATTTTATTGGACTTAACACTTTTCATTTGTTAGTATATGCTTTAAGACTCGAAAGAAAACGTTTTAAAGGTTTTTTTTTTTTTTTCACTTCTGATCTGTTTATGTTTTTTACTTAGTATAAGTACTTTTTTATTCAGCTTGCTCTTATAAACAGTAAGAGTGCATCAATTGGATTGGTTCAACGTTAAAAAACGTGCAATGCTGTCTTTCTTCAGTGTGCAAGTTTTCGGCAGTTTGCTCTTCTTGTTCCTAGCAATTAAGTATTTTTAGACTCTAATTTTAACGCCAAAGAAGCACTTGCAAAAAATTCTCTGTTGTTACAGTTCTACCCTTTATGGTATACGGTTCAAGAAGTTTCATTACAACAAATTCGCTTAGGGGAGTTGATGCATTTCGAGTCTCCTCTTTTTCTAAATACGGAAACCCATTTACCACATATTTCGTCTCTACATCAGAAGCCAACCAAAATTTTATGCCAAATTTATGGGGTTTGTTTAGCATATATTGAGTAAATCTGCATCTGGCCTTCGATGGAAAAAATTGCTCATCCACGGTAATATAAGCTCCCGCTTTAAAACTATTTTGACTATTTTAGAGAAATTTATCCCAAACTGCTAAGACTAAAGCGAATTTGTCTATTTGCAAAAGTTAACTCCTCTGATTTCTTTTGTTGAAACGAATGTATCGCAGAATCTCAGTAAAATTACGTTTACTCATAGTGCTGGACAAAACTGATGGTCCCCACTTGTTGTTCCACAAATATTAAAGCCTCAAACTATTTTCTTCGTCCACCCCACGTGCGTACAATATTGCAAGAAATGCTTTCAATTTTTCTTGCGTAATTGTCAAGTTTTTCCCCAAAACTCGAGAGGCTTCTAACTCTGAACAAATTCGTATATGTTCCAACATATGGTTTTCAATCAGTAATATGAACGCACTACTTAAATCCTTGTTCAATAATGTTTCTTTAGCATGTGCTGTTAGCCAATGTACATCTTTGAAAGCACCATGAACTGGTAGTTTACCAGCAAAACCTTTTTTTTCAATTCTCGTCCAAATAGTTCCATCTGAAGCAATTTCAGATTGCTGATTTGGTAAGTTACTACGTCTTCAGAACTAGAAAGGAATCGCATGCATCATCTTGTACGTTTGTTTGAATTATTTTCGCTATACCTGTCACTTAACTGATTTGCACCGGTCTTGTGATTCACCCAAAATTATACATTTCTTTGTGGAAACCTGCACCAGTCATTTTGACTGGTACTGGCATAAATGTCAAAAAAAAAAAAAATTTTTTACCAGCATGTATAAAAAAAAAAAAATTCATAAAATGTATTCTCTACTTATAGCTACAAAAGTCATAACATTAATTCGAAAATAAAATGTCATATGTAGTAGGAATTTTGAATTGAAATTGTACGACCAGTCAAAATGACTGCTCTGGTAAATCTAGTGTTAACTACGATTACTCCAGAAAGTAGCGAAAATTACTTTTAAATATATTAGAAAATTTTTAGCAAAGGTAAAAATGTGCTATTAGAAACTAAACAGAATAGATGTTAGGTTGACTACAATCGAATTTTGTCGAAAATGAATTGAATTCTACACGTCAAGTAACCAAAGAATGTTGTAATAAAATAATTTTTTCTCTTTACTTGGAATGCAGTTGTGGAAATATAAATGATATTTGCTAGATTTTATTAGACTTAACAGTTTTTATTTGCTAGTAAACGCTTTAAAACTTGAAAGAAATCGAGTCATAGCTTTTGTTATATGGCACTTCTCTAAATATCTGATAGTATTTAAATATTATTTAATCTAGAAAACAGCGAAAATTGTTTCTAAATATATTAAAAAATTTTTAGCGACGGGCAAAATGTGCTATTAGGAAAAAAACAGAATAGATGACAGGTTAAATAAAATCAAATTTCGTCGAAAAATACTAAAATTCTTAACGTAAAGTAACTTAAAAAAGTTATAATAAAATGAATTTTTCCCTATTTTTGGATTGCAGTTGTTTAAATATAAATGTTATTTGCTAGATTTTATTAGACTTAATATCATTTATTTGTTAGTATACGCTTTAAAACTTGAAATAAAACGTTTTATAGAATTTGTTATATAGCACTTTTTTTAGATATTTCTTAATTTATAACAATTATTTATTCTAGGAAGCAGAGAAAATTTCTCTTTAATATATTGAAAATTTTTTTTTCCGGTAAAATTGACAGAATGGATGTCAGGTTGACTACAATCGAGTTTTGTCGAAAGAGAATAGAATTCTACACGTAAAGTAACCAAAAAAAGTTGTAATAACATTATTTTTTTCCTTTTTTTGGACTGCAATTGTTGAAATAATAATGTTATTCGCTAGATTTTATTAGACATAAAACTTTTTATTTGTTAGTATACGCTTTAAGTCTTGTAAAAAAACGTTGAAGAGCTTTTGTTATTTAGCACTTTTATAGAAATTTTATAATTTTAAACTACGATTGAATCTAGAATGTAGCGAAAATTAATTTTTAATTATATTTAAAAATTTTCAGCGACGAAAAAAATGTGTTTCTAAAAACAAAGCAGAATGGACTTCTTTCCTTGAAATAAAAAAGATATTTGCTAGATTTTATCGCACTTAACACTTTTTATTTGTTAGTATACGCTTAAAAACTTGAAAGAAAACGTTTTACAACTTATGTCTTATAGCACTTTTTTAGATATCTGATAGTTTTAAACAATTATTTAATCTATAATGCAGCGAAAATTTTTCTTAAATATATTGAAGAATTTTTAGCGACGGTAAAATGTGCAATTTAAAACAAGACAAAATGGATTTCAGGTTTACTACAATCGAGATTCGTCGAAAGAGAATAGAATTCTACACGTAAGGTAACTAAAAAAAATTCGTAGAAAAATGATTTTTTCACTTTTTTAGATTGCAGTACTCCGAATATAAATAATGTTTGTTAAGTTTTTTGGGACTTAACACTTTTTATTTGTAAGTATACGCTTTAAAGCTTTAAAGAAAACGTTTTATAGCTTCTGTTAAATAGCACTTTTTAAGATTTTTATTAATTTTCAACTATTATTTAATGTAGAAAGCAGCGAAGATATTTCTTAAATATTTTAAAAAATTTTTAGCGACGGTAAAATGTGCTATTAGAAACAAGACAGAATAGATGTCAGGTTGACTACAATCGAGTTTCGTCGAAAAAGAATTGAATTCTACACGTAAAGTAAACAAAAGAAGTTGTAATAAAATGATTTTTTCCCTTTTTTTTGAATGCAGATGTTAAAATATAAATGTTATTTTCTAGATTTTATTGGACTTAACATTTTTTTGTGGTTATTATACGCTTTGAAATTTGAAAGAAAACGTTTTATACAATTTGTTTTATAGCACATTTTTTAGATATCTAATAATTTTTAACAATTATTAATTCTAGAAAGCAGCGAAAATTTTTCTTTAATATATTGAAAATTTTTAGCGACGGTAAATATGTGCTATACGAAACAAGACGAAATGGATGTCAGGTTTACTTCAATCGAGTTTTGTCGAAAGAGAATTGAATTTTACACGTAAAGTACCAAAAAAAGTCGTAAAAAAATTATTTTTTTTCTTTTCCTGAACTTCAGTTGTTGAAATGTAAATGATGTTTGCTAGATTTTATTTGACATAACACTTTTTATTTGTTAGTATACGCTTTAAAACTTGAAAGACAACGTTTTATACCTTATGTTAAATAGAACTTTTGTAGAAAATATACTGTTTTTAAATTCGATCTAATCATGAAAGTAACAGAAATTTTTTAAAAAATATATTTAATTATTTTTAACGAAAGTAAAAATGTGCTACTAGAAACAAAACAGAATGGATGTTTGGTTGACTACAAACGAATTTTGTCGAAAAATTATTGAATTCTCTACGTTAAGTAACCAAAAAAAGTAGTATTAAAATGATTTTTTCGGTTTTTTTCGACTGCAGTTGTTGAAAGGTGAATTATATTTGCTAGACTTTATTGGACATAACACTTTTTATTTGTTAGTATACGCTATAAAGCTTGAAATAAAACGTTTCATAACTTCTGTTAAATAGCACTTTTTTAGATTTTTAATAATTTTTAACTGCGATTTATACCAGAATGTAGCTAAAACTTCTTTTTAAATATATTAAAAATTTTTTAGCGAAGGTAAATTGTGCTATTAGAAACAAGACATATTGCATGTCAGGCTGACTACAATCGAGTTTCGTCGAAAGAGAAATGAATTCTAAACGTAAAGTAACCAAAAAAAAGGCGTAATAAAATGATTTTATTCGGTTTTTTTGACAGCAGTAGTCCAAATGTAAATGATATTTGATCAATTTTTTCGGACTTTAAACTTTTTATTTGTAAGTATACGCTTTAAATCTTGAAAGAAAACGTTTCATAGCTTCTGTTAAATATTACTTCTTTAGATTTTTTATATTTTTTAACTACGATTTAATCTACAAAGAAGCAAAAATTTTTTTTTTAAATATATTAAATATTTCTTAGCAAAAATAAAAATGTGCTTTTAAAAACTAAACAGAATAAATGTTTTGTTAACTACTATCGAATATTGTCGAAAAAGAGTTTAATTCTAAACGTGAAGTAATTAAAAAAAAATTTTAGTAAAATAATTTTTCCTCTTTTTATCGACTGCAGTTGTTTAAAAGTAAATGATTTTTGCTAGATTTTATTGAACATAACACTTATTATTTGTTATTATACGCCTTAAAACTTGAAAGAAAACGTTTCATACCTTTTATTATATAGCACTTTTTTAGAAATCTTATTGTTTTTAACTACGTTTTAATCCCGAAAGTAGAGAAAATTCATTTCTACGGACATTAAAAATTTTTTAGCGACGGTAAAAATGTGCTACTAGAAACAAAACAGAAAAGATGTCAAGTTTACTACAATCGAGTTTCGTTGAAAAAGACTTGCATTCTAAACGTAAAATAACCAAAAAATGTCGTAATATAATAATTTTTTCTTTGTTTTTCGACTGCAGTTTTCCATATATAAATGATATTTGCAAAATTTTTTCGGACCTAACACTTTTGTTTTGTAAGTATACGCTTTAAAGCTTGAAACGAAACGTTTTATAGCTTTTGTTAAATAGCACTTTTTTAGATTTTTTATAATTTTTAACTACGATTAAATCCAGAAAGTAGCGACAATTTCTTTTTAAATATATTCAAAATTTTTTGCAATAGGTAAAAATGTGATATTAGAAACTAAAAAGAATAGATGTTTCGTTGACTACAATCAAATTTTGTTGAAAAATAATTGAATTCTATGCGTTACGTAACAAAAAAAACTTGTAATAAAATAATTTTATCTTTTTTTCTAGGGCTGCAGTTGTTAAAATGTAAATGATATTTGCTAAATATTATTAGAAATAAAATTTTCTATTTGTTAGTATACGCTTTAAAACTTGAAAGAGAACGTTTTATAGCTTTTTTTTAAAGCACTTTTTTAGAAATTCTATATTTTTAACAACGATTTAATCAAGAAAGTAGCGAAAATTTCTCCCAAAGAATATTAAAAAATTTTTAGCGACGTTTAAAATGGGCTACTAGAAACAAAACAGAAGTGATGTCAGGATTACTAGAATCGAAATCCGTTGAAAAAAGAATGAATTTTTTACGTAAAGTAACCAAAAAAAGTTGTAATAAAATGATTTCTTCAATTTTTTTGGACTGCAGTTGTTTAAATATAAATGTTATTTGCTAAATTTTATTGGACATAAAACTTCTTATTGGTTAGTATACGCTTTAAAACTTAAAAGAAAAGATTTTGAAGCTTTTGTTATGTAGCCTTTCTTAAAATATCTGATAGTTTTTAACTATTATATAATCAAGAAAGCAGCGAAAATTTTCTTAAATATATCTAAAAGTTTTTGGCGAAGGTAAAATGTGCTATTTAAAACAAGACTGAATGGATGACAGGTTTACTACAATAGAGTTTCTTTGAAAGATAATTGAATTCAACACGTGAAAAAACCAAAGAAAAGCGAAGTAAAATAGTTTTTTCTTTTTTTTTTTGAATGTAGTATTTCAAACATAAATGATGTTCGCAAACCTTTTAAAACTTACCACTTTTTATTTGCAAGTATACGCTTTAAAGCAGGACAGAAAACGTTTCATAGCTTCTGTAAAAAAGCACTATTTAAAAATTTTTTAAATATTTAAACTACGGTATAATTCAAAAAGAAGCGAAAATTATTTTT